CGTCGCAGACGAAGGCCAGGACGGTCTCTTTGCGATGGAAGCACAGGATTTCATCGGGAACCTCAGCGCAGTAATAACCGTTCATAAGGACCTTCTGTTGGGGTGATATAGCAGTGGATATGCGGCTAGACACGGGAGCACCGGTGTCCATCATCACAAGGGCCACGCACCAGCGACACAAGGACGTCTGGCTGAAACTTCACAAGACGGCAACAGAGCTGACGTGCTTCCTGGGAAAACCGCCCGTGCGCGGACAGCTCAATATGCAAGATGTAAAAATTGAATAGCGCGAAGGCTAGACAAAGGACAAGGGACAGAACATGTAGACAGGACAAGCGCTAACTCACAACTGGCGTTTTAAGGGGGGACGCGGGCTTTGAAAACCGGAAAATTGCGAAAAAGTCGATTTTTAGAAAACCTTATTTTTCGGTTGTATATCTCATAAACTACCTTCTCTGTAATTATCAGCACCAAATACAACGGGGAAATATTTAAAAACAATTATTTACGAGGCCTGAATAGCATCCAAGTGACGGTCAAACGTCAAAATCAACCCCAACTTCGCGCGCTCGCCATTTTCGACGCGTTGGGCCGACGGCCGCCATCTTAGTCTTGTTTTGAACGTGAATTCTTTCTCTTTTTTTTGCCAGCTCCCAAAATGGTGTCGGCCGCGTGGTTACGGCGTGGTCGCCGTTCTTCCATGTCGCAATCGCAAGAACGCGATTGGACAGAGCGCGCGCTCGAGGAGCGTGCGGGGGAGCGCGCGACTGCTATTGGCTGGGACGCGATTTCTCCGCGCGCGGAGCGCTCCCCTCCTCCGTTTCTCCTGCTGTTGCCGCTTGCGTCGTCTGCTTTTGGTAGTGGTCTGCTTGCACGCGCTCTTGCTTTGTCAGCTCCACTTCGTTTTTCGCCATCTTTACGATCGTTTTCCGAACTTTCTTTGAGTAATTTCGTGTAGCGTGCCCGTCTGTTTCGTGGTCGCACACGATGCGGGGTTCGAAGTACAAGACGGTGCACTTGGTTGGGCGCGGAAGCGGTCCATGAAGTTAGTGCGGATGGCGAAGTTGGAAGTTTCTGCACGGCGTGCCGTCAATGATGATCGCGTCAACACTTCCAGTGTTGGATTTTCTGTGCCATCGGCTGTCGTCGAGGAAGAACGCATCGTCCCGCTCACGCCTGGAGTACCGAGCATGCCGACCGTTGTGGTTCCTCCCGAGATCGCGGGTCCCAGCGCCCGTCTTCCGCCTGCCGCGACAAGTAGGAGCGCGTCTTCTAGCACCCATCTGCGGACGCATTTCCTGACACGTGAGGAGATCGAAGCAGAAGCTAGACATTGTGATATTGCTCAAGCCGAACTTGGAGCTATGCCAGCAAGCTGCACTGCATGAAGCGGTGTTGAGGTTCAATGCCGGCTGCTACAAGGCAACTGCAGAAATATCGGTTGCAGTGGGACTTCAGCCGACCCATCTAGCCCTCCAACGAGCTTCTGAGAAAGATGCCCTACGTCTGCATAAGGCCAGCAAACGACACCAAGAGAATTTGGAAAGGCGGAACAAGAAGAAAGTGCGCAAGAACACTTCTGACTATTCTGCAGGGTCATTTTAAAGCTGAAAATCTGCGTGCAACTTTCAAGTGCTGTTTTCTCAGAATGGATTTTTTCACTGTCGTGGCTGCTCGTCCCAGCGATATCTCAGGAACTGATGAATGGATTTTTGTGCTGTCTTTTTTATTCTGTTCTCTAATAACTTTGTGAGGGCATAACAGAGCCCTTTTTTTAGAAAACTCTACTAAAAATTTATAATAAAAAAATGAAATTTGGTGAATGTGGGTTTTATTGACTACACAAAATTCAAAGTTGCGTTAAAATTGTTCAAGAAAGAAATTTAAAAAAAGGGCTCTGTTATGCCCTGGGGAATGTATCCAGGGGTCATCATAACAAATTTTACGCCGCTACTACCTTTTTCAAATTCTCCAGACCTGGGATAAGGAATGCATATGGACGATTTTGATAAATATTTGTAACTTGAGAAATAATATGCACAGCTCCATGAAACTTTGCAGTTACTCTTATGTCTGTGCTATAAACACATTCTGTAAATTTCATTCAGATATCTCTAGAAATAAGAAATTTCATATTTATTCCCCACCTCCTCCCTTAATAGAAAAGAAGGAAGCAGTATATAAATACACCGAAGAAAGGAACAAAGAAGATTTATAATAAAAGGAGAAAATTGAAAGGAATGAACAAAAAGGAAAGAAAAAAAAAGAAAGGGAGCAGCGTTACTAAATTAATTCCGGGGAATATTTTGAAATTAAGAAAAAATACTATAGCTTAAAAAAGAAAGAAGAAGTTGAAAAGACTAGAAAATTCCCGCTGAATCAACCTCAAGTTGGCCACCAAAGGTAAAATAATTCTTTGTCAGTTAATTCCACCGATGGTGCACTCACATAAGCGTCTTCCTTTTCCTTGATGGTTAAGGCCTTGTATATTTCTCGGGAAGTTTTATCTCGGAACCGTCGTAGGGTTTTAGTTTTTGTCAGGATCGGTTGGCATTTACAGTCTCTAATATGTACTGCGAGATGCCCCGCTGGAGTTGACTTGAGTGAGGTGGCGTGTCCCCGCAACCTGGTGTTGACGCAGCGGCCTGTCTGACCGACGTATAGAACTTTACATTCTCCCCCGCATGGGCGCTGCCATCTTGGAATCGCGTGATGCGGTGGCCATTAGGTTGCTTCAACTTGCTGCTCCGCTCTCCCCTCTGCGCCTTGGCGGATGCGTTGAATTCGATTTTTCCGTCGCGTTTCGCCGCCTTTTTTGCCTTATTTCGGAAACTGTAGCCCGATATGTCTACTCGACGACTAAGAAATCACAAGGGTTCAAAGGTCTTTATGAACACTGAGGTTTGTTTACTAGTAGTGACATCATTCTGGGTAAGGAGCGCATATATTTATATCGCGCATTTAGGATCGGAAGGCATCAAGAAGAGCCAGCGCAAGGAAACTGCCCATATTTCCTGAAAGTATCGTTCTTTGTATTCATAATATATTGAAAACAGCTTCTTTTGATTACGTGAGGAAACCCGCGGAGGAGATAGACTACGAACGTTTAACCTGTATGTTATCTGAAGCTAGAAGCGATGGTACGTCAACATCAGGCAATTTGTTCGTTCATAATATCATACCTACATGTGTATCAAGTTCTCAATCTTTTTTTGCGACGTAAACATTCGGTTAATAGATTTATTTAAGAAGTTTAAGAAATTGTATACCATGCTCACCCCCACTTCGACAGTTATTTAAATGATATATTGATTTTATTTAGATAACCAATGCCATCCACTTAATTCATTTTAATAGAAAGGTTGGGACTTCCCACGTAAAAAACTGCCACAGACACTTAACAGTAGCAATTTTTAAAATAGCGTACACAAAAAAAAAAAAGTTTATATTTGAAAATGCTAAACCCAGTGCGCAATAATGACGGCGCTTTTTTTTTCTTGTACGTTGTTGTTTTACCAGTATCCAAAACTGAATGGAAAGCGCCGAATAAACAAGGATGAGGATGGAAAAACTTACAATATTTGACCCCCCCGCCCCCCCCCCCCCTTCCCAAAAAAAAAAAAAGCCGTTTGCATAACAATTATTTGAGTCCAGGATTGTCGATGGCGAATACCGGTTTACTTTTGGTGGCTGGTGACGCTGAAATTTATAAAGCGAATCTGTTGAAACAAATAAATATTTATTCACACAGGTCCGTGAAGTGGTGCCTAGCACTAGAATTCAGGCAAACTTTCGGAGGTATTTCTCCTTCTGCGCCCTTTAATTTTATTTTGCCAATCTTACGGAAGACAAATGCCAGATTTAGTTTGACAGGCCTGTCACTTGTATCATATCTTGAGTAAGCAAATGTTCATATAAAAATAATTTATTTTCTACTTGCCCTGTCAAATCATGCTCGAGTACTGAATTAAAAAAAAAAAAAAAAGAGGCCGAGACGATATTATTTGTTTATATCAATTATCTGCGTCATTACACAATATGTTTCTAATCCACGAAGTTCTCTAAAGGTTGGGTGCCCCACGAAAACCAAACAGTGGGTAGTAAATTTGCGAGTTCATCTGTTCTGCCCGGTTCAGCACATTGCTAATCAAGCTGTCAATATGCTTCTTTACATTCACGTGTTAGTCTCTTCATTAGTTTGTTCTTCTGGAAATGGGTGCCATCAGGTACTGCCGTAGACGATGGTAATCTTCCCTGTACATCAGTCAGGCGTTTTTGCAACCAACCATAATCAGATACATCAAAGGAGTTGCTAAAAAAAAAGAAACCCGCAATTTAGGCTAAGATATACCTCGGAGTCCTCAGAGTGGCTCAATACCACTGTTTCATTGGTTGTGTGCTACACGGAAAATAATCGTATCACAAAGTTAAGCAAAAACAACGTTGAAATTAAAACCAACCAAATTAAAGCAACCTAATGGCGCCGAGTGCGTCAGCGCCCTTTTTGCTGTTCTGTTCTTTCTTTTGCTCACTAACACACTAGCTGATCAAAAGAAGCAGAGCCCTTGAATAAACGTTCAAGCCCTTGAATAAACGTTCAGTCTGCTTGAGACGTTGTACGAGTCACTTCAGTTCACAGGGCTGAAACCTTGCGTGCCCTCCTCCTATATGGCGACAAACACCACCTGCAAATATCATACCAACTGAGCGAGTGCTTCAAAAGTTGACATTCCCAGGTCGTGTCCCCCCATGGCTCTACTAGTGTTATATATAAGCATGCATCAACTATGCTTCACCGTATTTATACATCTTTGTGATATCAGTTTTACTCGGTAGAGGTTCCATATTGTAATAGAATGCAGATAAAAACTGTCTTAGAATTCCTGACGCTATGCCAAATTTCATTATCCATGTTGCCCATTTGGACACCTCTGATTCATGATCACATTGCAACTCTTTACCTGCACGAAACGAAGAAGGGGCACACTGAAAACACTCACATGTTCATGCTGTCTCTGACAATGGGGATGCCAGATATGGAGTGCTTGTGAACCGTTTCCAAGATGCTGCAGCCATGAACCTTCGAGGACGAGACAGAAAACCGTTTGAACGACGAGGCCCCACTGTTAAGGTGAGAGACAGTTTTGTTTTAAAGGGTACATCAGCTGCCAGCTTCCCATGCTGTAGGAAGTCTAAAAGTCTGAAGAAATTATTTTATTTTTTTTTACTTAAGAAGATATAACAATCGAGATTTTCCTGGGTAAAAAGTTTTTGGATATCCTAAAGTCGCACACGTTCCAGTGAACACTGAATATTTGCTTAAGAATGACAAATATACTACATCGTTCAGGTTTTTTTTCACGTAAAAGCTTCTTTTTCTTATACAAGAACGGAAAATATTCGGACAGCCCTTTTCCAGAACTGTGCTATTCGTAAACTGGAAAACTAACCTCTTAGCCGATAAACCAACTTAACAACTGACATGCAGTGTATAAAGTTCTCGACCCCGATGCAATGCCTGCATTACGCACGTATTGCCATGCAGTACCTAAAACAGTGGTTTGTGGCTCGAAAGCCCCGAGGGTGCCACACCTACCGCGGGAAAAGCGGAAAATCCCGAGGCGACCCGAGAAGAGCGCTTCTCCTCAAAGCCCCCATGGACTACAGGAAACAAATCACGCCTCTCACCAGCGTGGGGTGCGATACTTTAAATAACATTTGTCGAATAAAAAAAACTATTCGCTCGGTATTGGCCGCCCCTAATTAGTCTCTTCCAGCTTGGAAAAGTTTAAAAAGCGTGCCTAAAGCGTGCTTTTTAAAGACTATTTTGTAAGGTGCATTGGCAGTGTGACCGTGGCTAAAGGTATTTTCCGGTCGAGTTTCGTACCGAAAAAAACATTTCGACCTCATTGTGAATGACTGTAGGAGCATCTCCCACGACAAATATTTTGTGTGCTTCCCTGGACGAGCGATTTCATTTTATATTGAGCACGCATAAACGGCATTTTCCTCTTCCACAATCAGGGCAGCGGAAGCTCCGACGTAACATCGTGCGAAGATTGCGTTGAACTGAAGCGCCCTTCGGATTTTGTTTTCCGCGCGAGTGCTACGACCTGGTTCACCCTCGTTGTCGCGCTGGAAAATATTTTGTGAATGTAAAAGGTCTCGCTGTGCGGTTGTCACGCTCCACACTTCTCAGAGATTTACAGTGGCGAGTAAAATTGAATGCTGCGGTGTGTCGGGAGCACTGTGTTCTCACGGAGGAAGGAGGCACAGGGTTTGACAATTGCAAGCCTGGTGTGATGTCACATCAGGCATGAGAGCGCAGCTACTGATACTTGTGCAATTTGGCACGGAGTTTAATATGATTACCCGTCATTAATTACACTCAATTGGGCTGCCGTTTAATAAAATAAAAATGGTTTATGTTAATCATTAGGCTCCCACCAGGTAACCATCACAGGATGTTAAGAAGAACATTCGGTTTGCACCGGACAATCCTTTTAAAGTGCAACTCCACTCAATTCTGGAGATTTCGGGATAACGAGCGATTTCGCATTAAAGAGCCCTAGCAAAAGACACTACGTCATTTGCTTTGCGAAAAATGGGATCGATATTTTTTTAAATCTAATTTTAAACGCAAGCAGATATTGAAACCGAAACTTCGGCTCCGTCCGGCAACATTGGCTTTGGGCCGCGAAGAACATGCTATCACGTGGTAAGGGATGTCATGTGATCCTCTATGCAACGACGGGCGAGATTGGGGCGGGCATGTGCCAGGCGCAAGTGTTCTCTGCATTGTACTCTTCACTATGTTTTGGTGTCTACGACATTCGACAACGTCTGAACCACTGTGGCACAAGTAGTGTCGACGAAACTTTGAGAAACAATAATCACAAATGGTGAGACGACGACAGCGGTTGTGACAAGGGGAGCGGTAACGGTGAGACCACAGCGGGGCGGCCAGACGACTCCCAAAAAGCGTGCAGCACAGCGCGCCGAGGGGAAACATTGCTGATGTCACTCGTTACGTTTGCATGGAGAAGTAAAAACAAGAAAAAAGGGGAAATGGTAAGACGTTTAGCTCAATGTTGGCTTCGCCCACGCTGCAGCCTTGACTGTGCTGCAAATTGTGCCTCAATTCGCCCGTTCGGGTCAGCCGATTTCAGCAACTTGGCGAGTTGCAAAGTTTGCCGGACTGTTTTAAGAAATATTTGGACAGAACTACTTCGTAATATTTGACGTGTCATGTTCCTAGGTGATACTGAAGAGGACTGCATTGCTTTTTCAAAAACAAAAATGAAGCAGAGTTGCCCTTTAAGCAATACACTGATGCGTCGCTACAAGAAAAAGAAGTTGCAGCTCCTAGAGTGCGTAGTGCTAGGGCTGGTTCACACATTTGTGTTGGAGTGTCATCTTTTTACGAACCATTCTTCCACAGTGGGCTTGAAACAATTATGACAATGTTAGTTTAAACAACCATTTCCCATGAACGGGGCTTAGATTTGACCTCGCAAATACCGCAAAAGCTTCGGTCTAGTTATATGCGGATCGAAAGTAGCTTTCCAGAACTACCCAAAAGATGAAGCCAGCGTGCCTTCGTAAACGGTCACAAGGGGGTACCACTCACTCGAAACACTCAAATGCAAATGTACGAACTGGCGTTTACCGACAGACTCCGCAATCTTATAGACCGAAAGCTGAAGAAGCCCCAGCGTGGTCGGGCGTCTCGAGCTTTAGGCAAGATACACGAGCAGACAAGATGATAGTTCTCTCACCTCGCCAGCTTTAACGGCATTGACCAGGTCCAGCAATGCGGGAAACAAGAGGTGGTACTGAAAAGAGATGGTTTTGATGCGACGCATAAGTACGAGCCACACCTGCGAGCGATCATCTCGCTGCCATCGCACTTCCTCGATGGATCATACGCGCACGAGCTGTCCAAGATAATGTGCTCGGCAGAAGTCCAAAACCGAAATTCGTGACGCAACTCGGCGAAGCGGGGAGGCGGGAACAAAAAAAAAAAAGGAGCAGAAAGACTAGAAATTTTTGCATCCCCTTACTTCTAGATTTCTATGCATTTCGTAGAATGATGTTAGAAGTGGTTTGTATGCAACTTTTGTTTCGCATAATTTTCATTTAATTTATAGCTGCTTTCTTTTTTTCTTTTACGAAGTTGTGTGTTCTTTTGTTTTGCATTTGTATGATGCTGTTAGTTGTTAAACGCTTGTAATTTTCAATATTTTATTGTTTTATTATTCAGCACAAATTTTTGTACACAGTAAACTCTCACTTGAGTGAACATCGGTTTAACAAATATTTCAGAATAACAAACTTTACTGAAATCCCCGGCGGTTTTCCTATGCATTCTATGCAAAAATGTTTCAGTTAAACGAAAAGCGAATTTCAGAATAGCAAATATTTTGAGTTCAACGAACTTGATCGGTGGACTTAGGATCCTTTTTGCAATCAGTTCAACAAAGCTTTGTGCTCTGCAGTGCTGGCGTAGCCATTGCTCGCTGCCCCGCTGCCGCCTCAGCAGCAGCGGCGGCGTATCATCGCTGGCGTTTACAGCACCACCGAGGCAAAGCAGCAATGCGGTGGACAAAAACGAACCATGTGGTGTGTCTGTTTTTTCTTTGTCATAGGCTCCATTCGGCCATCTTAGTTTTGGGTAACAACGGCGGGACAGCAGTTTGTGCACCCACTTTCATGATGAGTATGACAAAATGAAAGCAGTTGTCTCTATCAGACAAGCGCAAAATCCTTCAGCATCTGGACAATGGTCAAATGGAAGTGGACATTGCGAAGGACTATGGGATTTCACCAGCAACGTTGTCAATGATAGTGAAGCAAAAGTCGAAGCTTAAAAGAGAAACTACGTTCAATCCCAACAGGAAACGACTCTGCATGGGATATTTCAAGCCAGTGGACGATACCATTACAATATGGCTTCATCGCAGCAGCAAGCTGTGCCAGAGAAAGTGCAAAAGAACACTCTCTGGACAGCATTCTTATTTTATGCGCTTTAAATGCGCCAACGCAAATGAAAATTAGACTTTTTTTAAAAATGAGAAAGGCAGCAACATAACTGCTTTTGCAGTTTGTATATATCGATGTACACGACTCCATCAATTGCATTTCACAATTTTGACTCTATGTATGCTATGCCCTATGCAGTTCCATGTTCTAGTGAATATATTCAGTTTAGTGAACTTTCAGTTAAGTGAACTATTTCCTTGGGTCCCTTGAAGTTTGCTCAAGTGAGAGTTTACTGTGTACTATAGTCGGTTGCAAGCTAAGAAAAAACCGGAAATACCTCTCAGAGGAAAATGTAATCCTACGCCGAGAAACGCCAGCCAATCGTTTTCATGACGTCACGATTCCGTGGACCAATCGCGATCCTTTTGAAAAAAAAAAAAAAAAGCTCAACATGGCTGCTGGCTTTAGCAACGCGACGCTAGTTCCTCGTGACAATTATTCTGCTTTTTTGCACCGTGTTTTACGAGCCCGAGGTTACGCCACGAAATCTTAATGGTATCGGCTTGCGTTTGCAGCAGTTTTTGCGCGACAACGTGAGAATCCAGCGACGCTATCGCCAACGAAAATTTCGAAGCGGGCGCGAGGCTTAGCACTGCTGAGAGGTATGTTAGACGGTATGTTAGACAGTATCTTGGACAGAAAATGAATTGGGAAGACGGTACATTGGACATGACTTTCTTTCTTTACTAAACAGCTATTTCGTTGATAAAAACATATTCTAACTTATTTAAATGTCCTGAATGAATTAAATAATGATTGTAGTAGTTTAAGACACGTTTCCTGGAGGAAGAAAAAGCAACGTTGCTAGCGAACTACTTTCTCGACGGCGGAGGCACTTCAGATGGGTGCAATGCGCTTGTGGGTGGAGCTAAAAGATTGTTCTCAGGTTGCATCCGACTATAGTTTCCTTTTGTGTCCTACGATGTCCTGCCGAAATATTTGAAACTGGCCCCGGACCACGTTGAGCTGCCTCTAGCAGCTTTTTGTCGAGGTGTCCCGTTGGCTTTGAGCCCATAGATAAAAGGAGATTGTCAGATCTCTCCATACTAAACTCCACGAAAAGGAAGCACCATGTCCAACTTGTCCTGGAAGTGCATCAAGGAGGTCTCTGGTCCCCTGAGGACGTCCTGCTCCAAAGACAGCAGCTCCTCCGTGTAGCCATGGAGAATCTTCTTGAGTCCAGCGCACAACGCTTGCAGGTAGAGTCCCTTCTGCAGCACTCGCTCCTGGCCATGGACGCCTGAAAAGTTGGAAGCACAAACGCTATCCTTAAAAGAGAATAGAGTTCAACCCTTCGGCCACAAACCACAAGTGTCGCTCGCGCCTTCCGTTACGAACCGGAAAGTCCGTTTACGAGCCTCGCTCGCACTTCGGTTTCGGAGCTCATTTTGCGCACTTTCCAACAGATGGCAGCGCCACTACGGTGCCTGGGGCGTGTCTTCAACCAATGTATTCGGCGTCTCAAAGTGGCAGCGAATGAAGTCGCAAAAGCCAGAGTGTTACGCCGTCGGGTGCCGCGATCCTGGCCGTCGGTCCCAGAAGTTCCAACAAAAAGCACCGACCAATGCGAGTGTCGCCGTCATCTTGGCATTCCAACTCGTGGCTGCCGAAGCTTCCATGGACTGTCTGCAGCAGAACAGACGTCTGCTACCTACAACACCCCTGCTGTGACCCCGCCAGGATTGCCGCTGGCGACGGCGTGACACTTCTCCGATGTCATTGGGTGGAAATCGGGGGACCACTTTTTCGGACGCAATAAACACGCTAGTCGGGGATGCGATCCCGGCACCATAGAGCTATTGTTATTTCGATGAAATTCGTGTTTTGGGTTTCTTACAAATGCCGACAACCGTTGTGTATGCAGACGCACGAGACATGTGCCACGAGTAAGTGCTGCGCCGCCCACTTGCTTCCAAGGGCCGCACGAGGCACGGGCCTCAAGCACTGGCACATTTGTCCTTGTACGACAAACACATCGAGGAGCTTTACATCGCTCTGCCCCCTTCGGCTTACTTGGTTGCTTGTTCTGCACCAAAAAAAAAAGCTGGAATGTCACGGAAAAAAAAAGGTTTAACGTGTGCGAGTGCAGGGAAAGGCAACATGGCCTTATCGTGAAGGTCCGCCTGAGCCGATGAATAAAAACGGAAACTTTTATTCGAGAGCAACGGGTACTTCACCACCTCTGTTGACAAGTCATACCACCTCTCCGACAACTCAAAACTCGGAAACTTTATTTAAAATTAGCAATTTGCACGAACCTCCATTTTATTTGCACCTCCTTGCGTGCGCAACATTTTCATTCTTTTAATTTGTTTGCGCCTTTTTGCAACATTTTATTTATTTTTTTTCTTATACAAGTTGAAGCAACTAGTTTTTTTGTTTTTTTTTCGAGGCTGTCAAAGAAGAGGCCACAAGCCTCTAGATGTGCTGCTTCTTTCACTTCCCAGATGCATCTGGTGACAAAATAGTGGCTCCTACCAGACGATCGGGGAATGGTATTCAACGGCTCTAGTGCAGGCGACAATGTTCTCGTAATGTAAGTTCCAGGTCCTGAAAGCTTGAGCCACTCAAATCTACAGAAAATATCAGAATTGGCAAGGTGCCGCTACGACCGAACAAAAGTACTACAAAAAGAAAAAGTAAGAACGTTACCAGTAGGGCCGAAGCCGCCGTAAAAGGCCACGAAGTCCTTTAAGTACTTGACTGCGTAGCCCAAAGAACAGAGCTTGTTGAGCACCTCTGCTTCAGATGGATGGAGGAATGACAGTCCTTTGGAAACCTGCAATATGCACCCAAATGTCATCTCTTCCACACAATCTATGTGGAGCACAAGTCTGTCTGCTTCTTGCACAGGGAGTTGGGATGATGTCCAAATAAAGAACTCTTGATGGCTGATTAAAAAAAAAGTGGGTAGGTATATTTTAAAATATAAATAAGGGAAGAACATAAAAGACGAGGACGGACACTACGTTTCCCAACTGGCAGCGAACATTTATTAACGACTTCGACGGGCCGGGCTGTGCTCTCCTGAGGGAGGAGGGCTGCGTTGTCAGAAAATAGTGGGAGGAGAAGAAGGAAGGAACTGGAATAGCAAAGGGAGGGAAAAGGGGAACGGATAGGGCCTAACGAACTGGTGAAGAAAACAGAGGGGGGTCAAAGCTGAAGTTCAGGTCAAAGGTAAGGTCGACCTTAGATAGGGCTAGGGAAGGAGAACCGATGTTTGTAGGGCTGTGGCGTATTTTGAAAGCCTCCAAAATTTCCCGTTTGTACCCCGACCTGTGCGAAGCTAGTACGGATGTAGCGTTAAAGTCGGGGGTACACGATGCACAGGTCGCGACATGTTCGGCAATCGGGTGATGACTCGGGACAGGGGTGTTGAGGGCGGCGTTTTTACCTCAGCAACGTGCTCCTGAACTCTGTCGTTGACACAGTGGCCGATGTATTGGGAGCCGCAGCCGGGGGGGAGTAAACACACTGTTTCTTGCACAGGAGATAGACTGTGACGTGTTTTTTGGGACAGGTTTTCGGGGGGTCACGAGAATTTACCATTTGGCATATGGAAGATAGCCTGAAGCGGCAACAAAGGAACACTTTTGTGCCAGACTCAACAGCCAACGACTTGATGCGGTGTCTCGTGTTGTGGATGTACGGCATGCACGCATACTGTGATGACCCAGGTAAGCCCTGCTTTCTTTTGATTGGTGCCTGTCCAATTATTATGTGCTTTAGTGTCATTTCCAGCAGGTTTTGGGGGTAACCGGCCATGATCAAGCAAGAACTTTGCAACTCTTAGCTACCCAATGGAGGCAGGACTTGGTCCTAGAGGATGTCAAAAGGGCCTTTACTATCGCATTTTTTAAGGTTTTGGAGTGGTAGCTATTAAATGGGAGCAGGGGCTTGCACGACCTCTGCTGGAACGACAGACGTCCAGAAATTGGAACCCCTCAGAGGTTGGGTCTTCTTTCATGAATTTGAGGCTGAACGAGTTGTTGAAGAACGCCTGCTCAACTTTTGTGGGATCCAAGGTGTGAATCATCAGGTATACCGATAAACTGATGTCCCAGGGGACAGGGTCATGAGCGCCTTTTGGATAGCTTGGTCGACGAAAACTAGGTATATCTCGCTTAGGACGGGAGCGAGGCAAGAACCTATGCAAATGCCCGACTTCTGCTTAAACACTTCTCCCTTTTGCTCGACAAGCGTGGATTGAAGGTACAGATTATTAAGTCAATGAATCCCGGCAGGGGAATTACGGAAGAGTGCTGAAATTTTAATACTCCGTGAAAATGAACTGCCTCAGATACGAACCTAAATAAGTTGGTACCATTGAGACTGTAATACAGATCCTCTGCATCTATGGAGAAAATTCCGAGTGCCTCAGATGTGGAATGAAAGGGTTCAAGAGCTTTTAGCAGGCCAAGAGAGTTCTGAATTCAGAAGGGGTGAGGTAGGTCTAATACTGCGAGGTTTTTCCGTAGGTATAGGGCCAAGTTCCCCTTTTTCCTCCCTTTGCTATCCCGGTTCCTTCCTTCTCCTCCCCCTTTTTTCTGACAACGCACCCCTCCACCCCCACCCTCGGGAAAAGAGAGCACGGCCCATCGAAGTCGTCAATGAATGTTTGCTGCCAGTTGGAGAACGTCGTATCCGTCCTAGTCTTTTATGTTCATCCCTTATTTATATTTTACCCCTACCAGCACGCTCTTCATTTCAAGTATATTTTAAGGCACCTGGCATTGAAATCTACTTACTGTCCTTCCAATCAAAGCCAATCAGAACTCTGTTGAGACGTTACTGAGACATTCTCCTTCTCTTCCTTGCCGTCGTCTGTCATTACCTGTCTCGAGTTTTTCACTAAAATGTTTGATATACACCGGTTCACTTGCGCCCTTACACATACTGCTCATTAATCAGAACTCGGCGTAGTTCTGACGTCACCGCACCCCCTGCACAAGCAGATGACTTGCTCTCCATATAGTGTTTAGAATCGCAGCAGAATGACTCCAAGTGAGGAAAAAAAATGGTTCTATCTCCAATAGGTGACTGGCGTTTGGCAGTAGCCACAAAGCACTCTGGGTATTATTCACTTCCGGTTCGTAGCTAGCAGCCGACGAAGCCCCGTGATGGCTGTGGAAGCGTGTGCGGGTGTTCAAACCCGATCAATCCGGGCCACCTTCCTCTGCTGCTGGGTGACTTACGCACTTCTGAACGTCTCAAGTTACTTTTACGGACATGTTAAGTAGTAATCGGTTCGCAGAAGCATCGAGAACGTCCACGAAAGCCCAGAGCGAGTGCGGCCGGCGGCAAGCTGCACTCGCACCGCGCTTTCCGGATCTTCACATGAAAACTCAGGTTAGATATGTTTTGTTTTCCTTTTGAGCCAGCGTTTCTCATTTGGGTTCTGTTTATTTCTGATGGTTACGTTAGATCACATCACCGACTGAAATAGGCGCGAAGTAAGCCGTGGGACGCGGCCAGCTGAAATACTTGATCGGAGGTCTGGAATACTTTTCTCATTTTGTTAGAACACCTGAGACTGGGTAAGAATCTCTTGAAGCAACCAAAAGTTGAAACAGGGAAAGAAGTCGGTCAGACGGCGTTTCAAACTCAACTAATATGTTTTCTCGCGCGATTGAAACGCCACTTCTGTACACAAGTTAGTTTCAATGACATCTGACTACGTGACGATCCTTGCTTTTTAACACTCACGAGTTTTTGGTACTTCAACTAAGTTGTCCCCCGTGAACTACCATAGCCCCCCCCTCACGTTTTTTTTAATGATGTCGAGTAAGAAAGCATGCATGAACAAGCACCGATTTTGATACGAGCAACGCAGGGTCGTACTACCACTTTACTATCAGTAATAACTATCGCCTGCAGGAATTCTAAAACTCATCAATAACCTTAAAATCTCAACATCCGTGGGCACCGACATGATTAACTCTAAAATATTACGTAACACTGCTGAGGTATCATCAAATATACTTTGCTTACTTTTTGAACAATCATTCTCTACCGGATCCATCCCTTCTGACTGGAAGATCGGGAAGATCGTTCCAGTTTTTAAAAGTGGCAATAAAAACTCACCAGATAACTACCGACCCATCTCATTAACAGGTGTTGTCTCAAAGCTATTGGAACATGTTAGTTTCTTGAATGTGATGTCCCATCTTGACCAAAACAACTTTTTTTACAAACACCAGCATGGATTTCGTAAGGGGTTCTCATGCGACAACCAACTCCTTGAATTCACTCACGACATACATAGTAACATGGACCTAAACACCCAGACCGACGCCATTTTCTTAGACTTCTCTAAAGCGTTCGACCGCATGCCGCACTGCCGTCTAATACTGTATCTAAACTCTCCTCACTTCGCATTGACGACTTAACTCTTTCCTGGATCCGAAAGTTTCTCTCTTTAAGACAGCAGTTCACCACAGTAGGTGATTTTTACTCGGAGCTTTCCGATGTAACCTCCGGGGTGCCGCAAGGTACTGTCCTTGGCCCTCTTCTATTTCTAATATACATTAATGATCTCCCGCAGTCGCTAACATCCTGTGTACGTCTTTCTGCCGACGATTGTGTACTGTACAGAAAGATTAACAACCCTGACGACCACTTACATCTCCAAACTGATATTGATCGGTAGTTACCTGGTGCCACAAATGGCAAATGACCCTTAACACAGCAAAATGTAAACTTGTTTCTTTTACCCGTAAACGCACAAATTCAGACTTCACATATTTACTCAACAATTCGCCCATCATCGCTGCTTCCGCTTATCAGTACCTCGGTGTCGAACTAACTTCTAATCTTTCTTGGGTTTCTCACATTAACACGATAACCGCTAAAGCATCCCGTACCCTCGGTTACTTGAAATGCAATCTTAAATCTGCGCCCTCTCACCTCCGCAAATTATCCTATGAAACCTATGTTCGCCCGAAATTAGAGTACGCCTCCGCTATCTGGGCCCCTTACCAAACCTACCTTATTAATCAAATCAAATGCATTCAAAACCGTGCAGCCCGCTTCATTTCTTTATCATATTCGCGTTTCGACAGCGTGTCACTAATAAAGCAAAATTATTCTATCTGTCTACTGGAAACTCGACGTAACATTTCTCTCCTATGCTTAATTCACCGATTATGCCACAGCCCCGCTGGGACTTGGTTCTTGCATCTGGAACACCTGAACAAGGAATCACGTAATTTTAACACTAAGAGTTTTAAGCGCATCTTTGGGACATCATTGTCATTCAATAACTCTTCCCTGCCACGTGCCATCAAGCTCTGGAATGATCTTCCCGAGGCCGTTATTTCAGTTTCCGACCCAGCACTTTTTCGTTCAGAATTAGCCACATATATGTTAGCCAATTAAAAATGTGTAACAATGTTATTTTCTTGCAAACTGGTCACTGTATCTATATTTTTACTCGAGATGTTAACGGATGTGTGTATTATTATTATTTTTTATTTCATTATGTGCTTTATGTTACCCAGCTGTGCAAATATTTAGTTTATTCTGTTGCACGCAGATATGTATTGATGTTTGTATAGAGTCGGCGTGCTCCCTGCCATTCCTTCTTTGTGTTAACCAGATTATATAACCCTCCCTCATGTAATGCCGACAGGCCTTTGAGGTACTTTGAATAAATAAATAAATAAATATGAGGGTGCTGTTTCTTTTTTGCTTCTTTCTATTACAGCAAGCTGACCTGTCCTTTTGTTTATTTATATTATAGTAAGCCACCCATTCACGCCGCTTCGCGGGAACAGTCTG